TGGAACAGACACCCCATTGTGAGAAGTGGCCATTATTTCAAACTAGCAGGCTTTAAATAAGACATTTCACCTGGAACAGATAGTACTCTTTCATTCTTAGTCACCACTGATTCATTCCTCTCTCCATTAGGGGCAGGCTCACTCTACGAAGAGCCATTGCTTAAGTGCTTCTAGGATGTTTTAGTACCTGGATTTCCTACAAACATGAGGTTAAAGGGAATGCAGGGGAAAGGCCTGAGCTGCTTGGAGCCTGGCAAAGAGGAGACAAGGTGAGACGACACACATACCATTGTGTCAAGGTTTTTCACAAATTGTTTATTAGACAGTGTAACACAACCCCAAGAGCAGAAATCTTCCTGGTGAAGAAAGGAACTTGGGTGTTCTGCTCCTGCAGTTATAGTCAAGCCATCAGGGGGTCCCTGCAGGCCCTTTTCCTGGCTGCACAGAGCTAGTGGGGAACAGGAAGAATAAGGCTCAATGAACAGCTGAACTGACTCAACTGAAAGGACTCAAGAGACACATGGCAGAATAACAAAAAGGAATGAAAAATGGAAGTAACAGATGGTAAGCAACAAGCAGAGATGGCATGCAGGCATGGGAGATGATCACCTGAAGGAAGACTGGGCCATGGACAGATAAAACACAAAAGGGGCAGATAAAGTGAAGTATGAACTGGAAACAGGGATATGACAGACAGGGAGGGAGGGCAAGGACATTACACGCAGAAGGCCAGAGACCACATTCCTCCACACTGTAGCATCCTTTGCCAGTGAACTGAGGCAGGGAATGCTTGTCTGGGTGATCCGGACAGATGCTAAGTGTGGGGGCTGCATTCACCAGCCCATGCTGTGAGGATGACCCAGGGAGAGGACTGTCCAGTGCAACAGGAGCAGCTCAACTTTGCTTCTCTGTTTGGGCCTTCCCATTATCTCCCAATGATATGTCCTCTGGGGTAGACATCACAAGTAGCCAATCTCCTCAGTGGCTGAGCCGGGCACAGCAGTGTAGGTCTCTGCCATGTTTGTGTATGGTGATTATGGTATGCTACAGACTACAACTGGCAGTGGGCATGATGGGGACAACACAGAACTGCCTGGATTATGTGAAGCCAGGGCTCTTTGGTCTCCCCAGACTAAAGGCACAGGATCAAGAAAGAGAATCTCTCCTCCAACTGCAGGTTCCAGCTGAAAGGCAGGGGATGATAGGCTTGAATTAAATTATAATGCAGGGATTTCTCAGATGAGAGGCAGAGACAGGACAGAGGGGTGTGGGCACAGAGCAAAGACGAGAGCATCTTGTGGGTCATGAGCTACTGTGTCCCCACCCAACTTCTTGTGACTGGCACTAAGGAAGGGCGCCAGATTCTCATACATTCTCAACTGACACCAAAAAAAGTTGTCCGTGTTCCTCCACAGCATCTGGAACGTTTCCACCCTCTCAGCCAGGTTGGGCAGCTCATTCAGAGAGAAAGCAGAGACTGCAAGGTTGAACATCACCTTGAGCGAGACGGAGAGGAACTGTCAAAAAACACACCTATGAAGTGGGGGCCCTGGGAATCAGAGCCACCCTGAAGCAGCCATTCAGCAGCAGAGAGCACAGGGGCCGAGCTCTCCAAACGCACATATTCATACAGGCTTTTGCCCAGCTGACGGAGCCAGTCCCAAAGCCAAAATGCAATAAGGTGCAGGGAGTGGGGGGCAAAGTCTGGGACCCACTCCTGTGTCTTGTAGAAAACTCTGGACACAGCTGCAAGTTCTCCAGCCAGCTTGTCAGTGTACTTGAGTGCCTCCCAGTGGTAAGTGGTTTTCCACAGTATGGTTAGCATCTTGTCTGTCACATTCAGGAGAGCAGGTGTGTTGGAGGAGGAGAAGTGGACCATTTTCTCCCTCAGCTACTGTTCCAGTTGCTGTGCTCTCCCCCTCAGATCACCCGGCTCCGTAGGGCACTTCCAACTCCACGAGGGCCTCTACCTCATCCTTTGCATCCTGGGAAGGAGGAAAGTCCTTGCCTGGAGTAAGGCCTTCATGGGACACGCAGGAGCTAGGTCCCAGCCAAGGGGCGGTAGTGCAGCTCCCTCTCCAGCTGCTCCGCAGTCAGGGTGCCCTGGATAGCCTGGCAGCCAGGGTTGAAAACGGAGTAGGCGCTCATCTCCCCACGGCGTCGCTGCCCCAGCCCATGGGTCCCGGCACACAGCCAGTAGAGCGAGGAGACCACCAGGTAGGGCAGCCCCAGCTCCAGCTCCAGGAACAGCCCCAGCAGCACCAGCCACAGGAGGAACTTCAGCAAGGACACGTGCCCTGCCAGCCACAGCGCCCACCCTGAGGGGGGACCTGCCGCTGCCTCGGCTTGCCTGGGCGCCCCCTGGGGAACAAGAGCCACCTCTGTTACAAGCTGCCTTCGCAGCCCCCTCCCCGCCCCTCGGGCACACAGCAGCCTACCCCAGCAGTTAAACTGTCATGCTCCCGCAACGCTTCGAAGGAGGCGTGACCTCCGCAAGCCCCGCCCCCTCAAGGGCCACGTCTCACCCTGCGCAAGCCCCGTCCTCCCCCTCGCAGTTCACCTGGGCGGAGCGGCCCGACCTCCAGCCGCTGTCGGGCCCAGCAGTGGGAGCCGCAGGCTGTGCGGCGCCGCGGGAAGCACGGTACTGAGCCAACCTCTGCTCCGTGGGGCCAGACATGTCCCCCCGGCCGCGGGGCTGGCAGCTGGGGAAGGGGGAGTGGCCAACATGCCACGCCCAGCACAGGGGCAGTTGCGCGTGCGCAGAGTAGGCGGGTCGGGGCGGTAATGTCGCGATGGCCGGGGTGGCGCGCGGTGAGCCAGCGGCCCGGAACGTTGTTCCGGTTCTAACCGCCTGCCCTGCCCTGCCCCTCCCCCGCCGCCTCTTCATTCCAAGCCCGCCCCTGAGGGGAGCAGAAAGCCCGCTGTCAGCAAGTGCCTGGGACAGCCCTGCTAGGAACACGCGCTGGCTAAAGTTCATAATATCACAGAGAAGCTGGGGGGAAGGGACCTCCACGGGTCATCTAGTCCAACCCCTGATCAGCGCTGCAAGCCCTAATGTAACCTCTGCGTGAGGCACTGACACAGCACACCCCAAGGTGCCCCAGCAGGGGAGCCACAGCAGCCAATATTCTGCTTCTATAAAAGGTTGTTAATACAGGCTTGGGAGGGCCAGGCTCTTGGGCTCTTGACATGAGTTCTAAGAAGCAGAGCCCTTTGAGCATTTGTTGGAGATAGATGGCTGGCACAGACAGTCCCTGGGCTGGGGGGATGAGCTGTCCTGCAGCTCAGGGTCGGGCTGTGAGGTGACTGCAGAGCACAGTCCTTGAGCCATGGACCTTGCTGAGGGGTTGCAGGTGGGTCCATGAGGGAGGGTAGGCTGCAGGCTGGGGTTCCTCTCCTCTCCCTTCCTCTGCTCCGCTTGCTCTACTTCAAAGATGAGATGCTTCTCCTCCAAACTGGCTGCTACTGGGTTGAGGTTGAAGCACTACTGAGGTCAGGAGCTAGAAAGCAGCTATCAAGCCTATGAGCCGTTGGCCCGAATGGCAGCCTAGTCCCAACTCCTTCCAGTGCTCTGCGGAGTGGAGAAGGACCAAGGCAGTGCCCCAAACAGCCTTCTCAGTCCTGCCTGCGCAGTTCATCTTGCTCCCTGTCTTTCAGTAGGAGCTATATGCTGTAAAGTCCTGCTCTGTCTTTTCATCCTTCTGCCACAGTGGCCATGCCTGCACAAGACGCTGATTGCACAGTAGCCTGAGCCGACTACGCCGTAGCGTTGCGTGGCAGAAACCATGAAGCATCTCAGGCTACTGCATAGTCAGCATCCCCCAACAAAGCTGTTCATCGGTGATACTGTGCAGTAACACAGGTTACTGCGGAGTCATTTAGTACTTGCATAAACTTGCATAAATGACTGCAGTCAGTATCTTGTGTAGACATGGCCTGTTATTCTCAGTGGAAAATCATAATCACAGAGAAGCCGGGCTGGAAGGGAACTCCAGCGGTCATCTAGTCTAACCCCAGCCTGGGGCAGGATCATCCTGATCCAAAGCATCTCGTACAATCCATAATGTAAACTGTACCGAAGACTACCATCAACTCTGACACAACGCAGACCTAGCACCCTGACCTGCCACAGGTAAAGCAGAGAAATCATGGCAGCTAATGTTCCGTTTCTATGAAATGTTGTCAATAAACTTCATTTATGGGACTGGGTTTTGGGGCTGGGGAGCCCAACGTTAATTAATCGGCAACAGCAACCATTGCCACAGCAATGTGCTTGCTGTTCTGCTCAGTTGTTTCCAGCTGCTTTTCTCTCTTTTCAGAGCTGCCCTTTGGAGTGTCAGCCCAGAAGCAAGCAGGAAAAGGTTGAAGGGAGGGTGGGAAATGGCTATTTTTTGAGAGACCATGGACAGTACTGCCTTGTTAAGCTAAGGCAAGGCATGTTTCAGATGCACATTTAGCTGCTGTGGTCCCCCTGCTTTACCTGTGACAGGTTAGGATGTCATGTCTTGAGCTGCATCAGGGCTAACAGTCATTTTACTAAGAGGTTAGATTATGGATTTGTATAGGATGGTTCAGATTGGGACAATCGTGCCTCAGGCAGAGGGTTGGCATATTTGATGCACAAAAGAGTCACGGGCATGAGCCCAAACAGACATGGATCACTCCCCCCTATTATTAGAGGGACCTATCAAGTGTACACCAGCAGGTTTCTTGGGACAACTAGCAGGGACAGGAGTGAGGGTGAGAGGTTAATAACAAGTGCTCCAAGGGGGAACACCAAGCAGAGCACATGAGCCAGTTCCCACTAGCCCTCAAACAAGTCCAAGAAGCTAGTGGACACTGCCCAGTGAAACCCTGCCCCCAGCCTGTTCAGCATAAGCTACCAGGGTTACCCTCACTGGGTGTAGTCTGGATCCTTCTGTGTTTGTAAGGGAGAAGAAAAGCAGCTCTTAGCAAATGGGTAGGAATCAGCAGAGCAAGCGAAGAAAAGACAGCAGGGCAGGCAGGGGCAGATAACCTACAAAGGTCCTTTCCAGCCCCATTTCTTTATGATTTCTATGATTCTATGGCATTTGGTCTTTAATAACTTTCTTACACATTTTAGATTTTGCACATGTCCCATTCTGAAGGAGAACTTTTGCCCAGTTGAAAGACACTTGGTTTTGAAATAAAAATTGAAATGCTTTACAACAGCATGGGGTGTTGTTTTGCTTTTGTGACTGATGATGAAGTTGGTATATAGGGGAAGGGATCTTTCTATTGCTGTTGGACAAATACAGCATCTCTGAAATGATGCTTTTCAAACAGAACATAAAGATTTAAAATGCACAGTGCAGAAGTAAAGTAGTTAATGTCAGAAAGATTAATAGCAAATGTTTCACAGATTTCATAGACATTAGGGCTGGAAGGGACCTCAAAGATCATCAAGTCCATCCCTGCCCCAGGGGCAGGAAGTCAGCTAGAGTCAAAACTATGTTAACTATCTTGATACAGGACGTACGAGTTTGCTATTAAATTTATGATCCATCTAATATCTGTTTGAAATCCTGAGTCCAAATACCTGTTTTCTGCTTGCAAGGGACAACCAATTACTTTTGATCTGTGTGCAACTGTAGCCTCGTCCTTGGCTCTGTATTATTAAATATCTGTAGACTTAATTAGACCTCTTTTTAGTGTCCATCTGTCCTAAATGACCATCCTTAAGTATCATTTCTTTATGACCAGGAATGGCTTCAAAACAGACCCTGGAGCAAAACAATCACTACACTATAAAGTCACATGCAGACCACCAAGCTTCATCACCAGATCTGTAGAAGCTGTAGTTTCATTTAAAAACAGCAGCTGGAGTATCATTGTTAGGAGCTTTGCCATTTTCCATCTGAAGGCCAGCATTTTAAAGCAGCCATTTGATCTAACACTTTATAATAAATATAATCCAACTAGATATTCAGGGTAAGCTAGCAATTTAAAGAGCCCACCCTCTTAAAGAGACTTTTTTGGTCCCTGGAGTACTTGCTATATACATGTGCGCACATGGCAAGATATGATCAAAGCTTACATCATACTCGATACAAAATCAAGGAAGTATCTCCTACATCTGCTGCGGTTAGGAGATCAGCTTTTAATTGTGAGTTTCTTGGTTGCTCTGCATTTCTTAGATCTGTGGTCTGTCAGTCTTAATAACTAAAATTATATAGGACATCCATCTTTGTTCAGAAAACAGCATTAAGGTTACTGAAAAAGTGGAATGACTTAGGGTTGTGCCAAATGATAACTGCTGTGTCCTATAAATACAGAGCAGCATAGTTAGCTGCTGATTTATTTTTGTGTAGGCAAGAGGAAAAAGAGCATGAAATAGAAGACAATCTGTTATTCTTTAGACATTTGCACCTCTCAGCAATTTGGCTGAAGACCATTGCCACGATTTAAGTGTCAACTATTCATTCATTACCTTGTGGCACATATGTGCTACAAAAGACTCTTTGCAAAATCAGTGTCAAACTCTCAGCTAGGCAATTACAATACAGTGAAATTGACTACACTCCTTTGATGCTTCTAAATCTAGTATTATTGGCAACTTTGGACACCATGTGCAATCAGAAAAACAGCAGGAATAAACATTATGGCTAGAAACAGACAGTTTCCTGAGACCTTACACAGATGCCCATTGTCCCACATTAAGTACCTGCAAAATATCTGAGTTAACACTTTGTCCTGGAACATCCCTGGCTAATTCACATTAATTGCCATTTAAAGCTCAAGTGTAAATAACTGTCCCAGGCCTTCTTTGTTGGAAGTCAGATCTCCGACTAATCAACTCCTGGATTAAACTGGTCATCTGTTTTTAGCTCATGCTAAAAGATTAATAAAATTAGATCTTTGTCAAAACTCTTTGCAAAATCTCATCTGAATTTTTTCTAGTGATTACATTAAAATTCATGAGCCTCTGCATTTTCTCCTTCCTTCTGGGAGCAGAAGGGGTTGCAGACTAGTTTGAGAGATCATCCTTAGGGTATCTTGAGCTGACAAGAAGCCCTAGAAATCTCACAAGGAAACCTCTTGCAAAACTTTCATCCCAGCTTTCCTAACCTAAGAAGTTGGGGAAGCATTTAAACCCTGGGCACATGTTTGACCTGATCCCTCTGAAACCAGAACCTCACTAGAAGATTATTAGTACACCCCAGCACCAGTGATCAATTTATTTAGTACAACAGCCTCAGTAAACACTTTTCTGTCAAGAGAAGTAAAGTATTTTGAGGCATTACTGATTTAAATTTTCAACCCCACAAAGTATCTCTCTCAGTCAATGTGCTTGCCAGACTGTTCTGAAATACACTGATGAACAAGTTGCATTAATTCTCTCAAGTACCAAAGGATTAATCTAATTCACTCTTCTTCAGGATGGACAACCACACACACCAACCTGCTAAGTGCCATTAACAGAGAATAACAACTGGTTATTAACATCTAGCTTCATTAATTCAATGGAGTTGAGGGGGCAAAGTCTGCATTAATTTTAGTTATCGAGGGCTGTGAGAATACATAAATTGGATTGGAGTGGGTAGACTTGTGCTCGTCTAATTTTGTACTGCACTTTTTGCATATCTCAAGTATTTCTTACTGTGATACCTTTTAACCCACCATCTAGTCGGGATAAAGCTAGACAAGCTTTCAAATGCACAACATTC